CCGTTGAAAATAGCTACCAAGCACCTGTAGTGAAGACGTGACTGTGGATATGTGTGTGTATATGTGTGCGTGCGCGCGCACATCTATGTCGGTGAACAGTAAAATGTAGTCCCGCGTTGTATCAAAGAGTCCAGTAAATCCAATTATCAATCCAAAACCGCTGATACTTCACTCCATAAAAACGTGAAACTGAGGATTTCGGTGTGGTCACGGTAATACAGAATTAAAAGAAAAGGTAAAGCTATCCCTGCAACAGGTCGTGGAGTCCCATTGCGTTGAGAGACGTCGAGGCTCCACCGTTTTCTAGACAATCGACTCACAGAAGGTGGTGAGATTATCAACCTTACTTGCCGGCCGCACTTTACCGCCAGGAAGATTCCTGGTACTTATTTCTATTAGAGGCTGAGTCGGCCCCATGGCCACAGTGCGCCTGGAAGGAATCTAATTACCTCATCGCGAATCGAACCCGCGACCTTCAGGCTTGTAACATAGTGCCTCAACCAACTACGCTTGAGCGTGCCCTCAGAATTATGACAGAATTATTACTTACCTTTCGTTTCAAGAAGAGGTACCACGCCTTCAACATAACGGGCATCATCCTGCCAATCCTCCCCTGGTACTGTCCGCCGAATCGTCACTAGATGAAATGTTATCACAGCGATTTCTAATTAACGGTTCGATGTTATCCTGCAATTCGCCGGCTTCCCACGTACCAGCCTCAGAGCCTATTTTAGAATATAATTATTTGCATTTTCTAAGCACAGAATTTCTAACAAAGCCACCCTATTTCACCTTCCTTCTCTTCCTACATACTCCCTTATTTGTCTCGTCTTGCTCGGATTCACCAGTGTGTCCCGTACTCTTTCACTACAAATGTTAAAATGGCTACAGTTGTTTCACTGGAAACACAGTTCACGTTTCTATCGGGTCTCACATGTCTTCACTTCTGTGCACTTGTCCTCTTCTACGTTTAACATAAACCAAATTCTCCATTCTGCTAAATACACAAAGTGAATAAATAAATAAACTAGCAAAAACACGCACATTTTCCGTATATTTCGGATGATACAGCACTGCACTCAGTAACACCACGTGCAAGCCACACAACTGAAGTAGTGGCCATTCCTTCTATCGTACACCCCCTACACCTAATTATAAAATGTAGATGTTATATATATGGTGAAATTTAAGAATTTTAATAAGTTCTATACATTTAAAACTTTTTAAAGTGACTACTTAGGAAACAGCCTTACCGAAAATCTTAGTTTCTTCAATGAAACTATTTGTTTCGAGGGGTGATAGCAATTGAAGTAAGAGCTCATAAAGTGCAGTGCGTCTCAAAAAATGAAGATGTATAAAACAAACAAGTAAACAAGGTTTAGCATGGAAATTGTTAAAACAGATCAAGACTTTGCATACTACGTCCTTTCCAATTCAATTACGTAACTTACGCGGTTAATTAATTCAATATCTGGTTGCTTGTTTAACAAGTTACATAACCAGTTTTTGTGGTGGGGTGAGACTGAGTCCACTTGGTACATCGGTTACTATTTTGGCCTATTTTACCAGCTCCGGATGATAGATGATGAATGTGGAGCAGTCGGTGAAATGAAAATTGGCAGAGGAAACCGAAGTACTTGGAAAGAACCTGCCCCCAGTGCCACTTATTTTTTTTTTCATTGGCACTACAGCCCTAGTGGGCCTAGGCCTACCTCCATGAACTTCTCCGTTCACTTCGGTTTTTCTAGATCATACACATTCGGTAGGACTCCTTGGGCGGGTGATCAGCTCGTCGCAAGGCCTCTACCTGTACACAAACACAGAAAAACGCACACACACAAACTAAACATCCATGCCCTGAGTGGGATTCGAACCCACGATCCCGGTTTCCAAGCGAGCGAAGACAGTACATGCCTTAGACCGCTCGGCTACCATGACCGGCCCCAGTGCCACTTTACCCACCATAAATACCACATGACTTGACCTGGGGTCGAACTCGGGCAGCCAACGACCAGTTATTCACTCTGTGGAGGTGAGGTTCTTACAGCGGTGAGTACAAACAGTAAAGTATTCTGGGCTGTCACACTGAGTACTTCGGCAGAAATCCACCGATGTTTCGGAGGAATATGTGACCTCCATCTTCAGAGTCGTATATTAAGCATAGGGGAAGCATAGGTTTGAATTTCTGATCTCGCTTACTGCTTTTTACTGGTTTCTTCTTTGACCATGAAGATAGAGGAGACACACTTCTCTAAAAACTCGGTGAACATTACCAAATTATACGGCGTCAGTACCCCAAAAATTTATCATATCTTTGGGCAGTTTGTCGGTAATTACCTCATTTCATTTACGGTCAGATTGTCAGACTATGTGGTGTCTAATGCTACAATGATTAGTGAATAATGAATTGGGAAGGATTTGGAAGGAACCTATCGTGACCTGATTTGAGGTATGCCTATTATCCTAACATTTTCCTGGAAGGACTGAATAAACCAAGCAATACCTAGGGTATAACCAGTCTCTAGGTAGAGATTTGAACCCTGGTCGTTGTGAATATAAATTAGAAATGCCAGACGCCCTACTGGGACGATCAGCTGCCTCGCATGGTAAGCAGTGGTATTGCGTGTGATATGACGCCACTTAATTCCCTGTTGCACTTATGGGGCTGTATCCTGCTAATTCTCCGAAACACTCAATAAGCTGGAGCAGATAACTATATTATCACGGGCTGTCACCTTCAATTGTTCCTCCCAAGTCCCTGTGAAAGCGCTCTCTCGACAGTCAACTGTCTACAAGAGCGCGTTCATGACAGTTGACAGCTTTTGCAATAGGACGCTAGGCTTTAGTTTCTGTGCATTTCTGAATGGGGGAGTCGCCCATTGATCTTGTGACGTCATCTTATTCAGACTGGGATCTGATTACAACAGTTTGTGAAGGTGTCTCAATAACCTTAGCTAAACTGAGCTCTGCAGATACAGTGCTGAACAGCTAGAAGGGAGCGAGATGCAAGTATGGACTCTGTGGCCGCTACAAGTACTCGAAGACAGACGCGGTGGTTATGTTAAAACAGCTGCGCACCGTCAGGGGTGGGAAGTCAGGAATCTGCCTCTCCCCCGCACGTGATTTTTGCAAAACGAATCAGAGTTTAAAGGAAAGAAAGTGGAAATGATAAAATATTAATACCAACAATTAAAATTATGATGAATTCTACCTTCTGGAATAAAACGCCGTATACTCCATTGAGCTTACTGCCTGCTTCATGCTGGTTTCTTACTTCACTTACTCTTCGACCCTGAAGATGGAGGCGACATGTTCCTCCGAAACTTCTGTCGGCTTTCAATGGAGTACACGGCGTTATATCTTAAGAAGACAGGACTACTCATTACTAATCGCATTGCCTAAAGCAATTCACGCATATCAATGTGACTTTTATTCGGGCGGTGCCCGGTTCGAATCTTGGCGGTAACGAGAGGGGTCAGTTAGCGGTAACGCTCTAGATTTGTATTCGGGACGCAATCGGTTCGACTCTCGGCCGAGACACCAGCTAAACTGATGTTCTTCACAGAGTTCTCGGACCCTCCAGGAAAATTCCAGGATAGTACCTCGACTATGCCATGACCGCTCCCTTCCTGAGCCATGCGAATTCTTCATTCATTCACTATCCTTCCATTCGATGCTATACCGTTGTTGGTTCAGGAACTATGCTACAACCCAGAAGGTCGCAGGATCGCTTACCGATGAGCTCATTGGATACTTTTCAATTTACCTACTCCTTCAAGCCGCACTACGGCCCTGGAGTCGACTCAGCATCTAACAGAAATGAGTACCAGGAATCTTCCCGGGGGTAAAGGACGGCCGGCGCGTAGGGCTGACAACCTCACCGCCATCTATGAGCCGATTGTCTAGAGAAACNGCGTAAGGCTGACAACCTTATCGGCATCTTTGAGCCCATTGCTTAGAAAGTGTGGGAGCCTCGACGTCTCACAACCCTACGGGCCTTCATGGCCCGTTACAAGGATAGCTTTATCATTTTTTCTGACAGTATCGAAAGTTATACACCGAAACAAATGTCGGTTGGGATACCTACTTTCCTGATGTTCTGGTGATTTTCCGCAGTCCTTACAAAAAACTGTCTATACCCTATATACGTATTTCTCCAACTAAATTCCATCTAATTTATTATTCAGCAAATATCCCAGCATTCGGGGCTATGTATTCTGAGCTATTGAGTGCATGGCTAAATAAACTATGAATAAATAAAGACAAATAATTAAAACGTATTTGCTTCTCTGAAATGCTTGATAAATATGGGAATTAAGATGGTATACTGAGGTACTACACCGCATCTTCGGTAGAGAAATACAAAGGTTTCTAAGGATTCCGTATAGTCCGTTGAAGGTCAACCTGTGTTTGGGTGTAGCACATCACCTCCATCTTCAAGTCAAAGAATAAGCCAAACTAAAAAGCAGCGTTTGCTCTGCTTGCCAACTGCTTTCTCTTCCGTTTCTTGCTTGTGTTATTCCTCGGCCCTGAATATGGAGGCGGCATGCTCCTCCGAAACGTCAGTTGACTTTTAAAGCAACACTTGGAAGTAGGTTCCAGAATACAGAACTTTTGTCAAGAAGTTAAGCAGAAGGAGCTGTAAGGCACAATGAAAACGTCAAGAGCTCTGAAAAAAATTATATATTATATTGAGGAGTGCCACCTTCTGTGACACCTCCAATTAGTGCAGAAGTCAAGAAAACGTGGATTTATATATCCACTCCCCCATACGCCTTTATGATATGATGCTACATTAGAGAAGTACAGCGATAACTTCACCTTTAACTTCAGTGACATGAAGCCGTGTAGTCCGTTAGGAGTTCACCGAAACGTCTGTGTACTTTCACCACACTACACGGAATTGCATTTTAGAAGACCATAATGTACACAGACACAGTCATGTCCAGCCTGCGTATTTATTTCTCTCAAAACAAATTTTGAAATGATGACACGAAAAGTAGGAAGCAAATTATGTTTTATTTCTCAAAGTCATAAGTATGGAAAGCAGTAGGACCTCAGTCCACAGCGACCGGAGGACATGAGGAGCTCCGTGGTAGAGCAGAATTCCCTAAGCTGGGGTGACAGCAGGGGTGACAGCTGGGGTGACAGCAGGGCTGGGAGCTGGTACAGGCGTCGTAGCATTGGCAGCTACCGTGGGAGCAGCAGTGGTAGATGCCGTAGGTGCTGGCCTCTCTTCCACAATGATGACGATGGGTACACCCGATCGGCCAGGATAGTAAGCACCCGGAAAACGGCCCCTGCCCCACTCATAGTTGCCAGGGTGGCGGGGTCCTGGGCCCCAGTGGGGATGCGCTACCGCTGCGAAAGCGAAGGCTAAGATAAGAACCAGCGTCTGAAAACCAGAAAACATATGAAGTACACTGTTTGTTGATACTCTGTATTGTTATCTAATTGTTTGCTTTTTAAGTATGTCTTTAGCTCATTGACCGATCGGAACTGAAAGAAACACACAAATATACAAAATATCTGCCAACATATGGCAGAGGATGTACTGCAGGCCGTGAATATCTCACTAGAAAACAAAAGTTCGGTGAATTTACTTTCTCTCACAGAAGGCTTTCCGGTACTTGGAAGTACTTCCTATACAAGTTCTATTTACAAGCAAAGCCTGAGTATGAAAAAGTTGTAAGTCGTCAAAATACAGAGATTTCTTTTCACAGTCACAATATTGCTCATATATATTTCGTGTATGAGATTGTAGAGAAGAAATAAGCTTTACGGACTGGAATATTGGTGACAAAAGACTGCACTACGCTCTGCCATTAGCACGAACATCTCGGGAGAAACATTTAAAATGTCAGTGTTTCTTATTCCCGCTGCCAGCAAGAGATACTGATTTTAAGTTCATTTAACGACAATTGAGCAGCGATGTTTGTCTTGTTCATTGCGACGAATGAGTGTAAAGGATGAATTGAAAACGAACAGCGTGGAAAGCGTCTTCCCCTCGATTACGGTTCAGGGACGGACTCTTGACCGAGAGAACACGAAATAACATTAGCCTGCAGGACAACACAGCCTTGAACAGAGAGAAAATATACAGAAAGTCCAAGCGCAATGCAGTTCTCAATTCAAAAGTTCACCTACAGTTTTTTTTTGGCACTACAGCCCCAGTGGGCCTAGGCCTACCTCCATGAACTTTTCCGTTCACTTCGGTTTTTCTAGATCTTACACATTCGGTAGGACTCCTTGGGCGGGTGATCAGCTCGTCGCAAGGCCTCTAGCTGTACACAAACACAGAAAAACGCACACACACAAACTAAACATCCATGCCCTGAGTGGGATTCGAACCCACGATCCCGGTTTCCAAGCGAGAGAAGACAGTACATACATTAGACCGTTCTGCTACCGTGACCGGCTCACCTACAGCTACTGCTATGAACTGCTACTCAATAGCCTGCACTGCCATGGTTCCGTCTGCACACTCCCATTTCCTACAAAATGGTGAGCCACGTGATGTTGAGGATGATGGTAGAGTTAGAGACGTTTCGTGACGTATGCAGGGCTAGAGAAAACCAACATCTCTCCTCAAATGACGCGAATTTCCACCTTCCCTCGCTCGGTTAAACTAGATCAAGAAGATTTCTACGTTTTGGTATATATCGCCATTTGGTCATTTGAAAGTCAATTGGAGTTTCGGAGGAAATTGTCGCCTCCATTTTCAGAGATGAAGAATAAGCCAAGCACGAAGCCAGAATGAAGAAGGAAGTAAGCAGACGGGACTACATGGCGTTATGTCTCGCTTCGTAACCATCGCTACGAGAACTTCAAATTCTACAAAACAAATCAAGTACCTTAAAATTTTGTTAGACGAAATTTTAGGAAATTTCCAGACACTGCGACGAAAAGATTCATTGGTGTTCATAACGTATATAGGTACTCCATCTAAAGTTTCACAGTAGTTAGGTATTTATTTGTAGTTTATTTATTGGCGCTCTCAGTAGCTCAGAGCACACAGTGTCGAAGATATAATGACTGACGAATGTGAAGGTGGGAATATTTGGAAAGTAGCGGTCGTGGCCTACTTCAGGGACTGTTCTTCGAGTTGCTTATGGAAACAGTAGAAAACCCTCAATGAGTTAAGTTGGTGTCTCGGCCGAGATTCGAACCTGGCTCCTCCCGAATCAAAATCAAGATCGGAAAGTCATGGGTTTGTCACGATACGAGTAAGAGATCAACAGAAATCAATTTTCGGTTAGTAAAACAGAAAACAGTATCTGATCTGGGGGGGGGGCGGTGTTGTAAAATTTACTGCACTTAGATTCGCCTGTACTGCCGGGTCGACGTTGCGCCCACCTTACCAGTGACGTCCCGACGCTCTCCTCAAACTTCTGGCACTTACCACGTATTTTGCCATTGCAGCGTCTGACAGTAACTCGCCTGTGCCTTGCCTTATATGAGGGCCCCATTTGGCTTGATCACGTGTCCCTCAGGTCCGGGAAAATATTGCGCACATGTCAGACCATTGTACTGAGACTCGTGAGTCACTGAATTCACAAAGGAATTATAAAGAAATTTGTTCTCATTTTTCCTTGTTTTGGCACGCTGAACTGTTTACATCAGCATTTCACCACCTAAATAAACTTCTGGGTTTGTCTTCATGTGCATTCATGCGTATGACACACGTCTGCTGCAAATAACTTGGGCGAATACATTTCCTCTTTGGATTCATAAACAAAGTGCATTATATGCGATGGAAATTTTTGTGCTTACGTAACTGTGTATCGGACTGGAAGGAATTCTGTTTTGATCCCAACAAATTTACTGGACAGGTGTTTGAGGCTCCTGCAACAATGAGTACGGAGATCATTGTTGTCACGGATGTTACGCTATTTAAGATATATATATATAATCTTGATCAGCAAATCCACGCTGTGCATGGATCAACATCAGGAGGTGTAAAATATAAGAGAAAGAGACTATTAAAAGTAGAGCGCAGAAACAGCAGAATGAAAGGAACAGACGATTGTCTGGAAGCAGGTAGTTTAGTACGAACATTTATAATGTCATTACAATTAGAGGAAACAAAATAATTAAAATTTCTTTAAAAATCCCAAATCTAATTTGCGGAATTATACACAATGTATAATAGAGCACAATTACACAGCACATATTACCTAAGAAAAGTAAGATTGAAATGAGAACAACTAAATCAATTATGCAACATTTATTTCCATGTTCAAAGTTTAACATACAATTCAAATGTGGACCAACATCGACTGAGGAACACGAGGATTTTCTGGGGCTGCAGCGGATGGTCTCACGTATTTTGGGCTTTAAAAAGAGCCTCAGCCACACGTTATTCGTGTGGTTTCTCGACAGGTTTCTCTTCAGGTTTCTCGACAGGTTTCTCGATAGGTTTCTCTTCAGGTTTCTCGTCAAGTTTCTCATCAGGTTTCTCAGAGGGACGATGTGGAGGATGGAGAGGGGGCCAAAATGGCAGAACAGGGACTGGCACAGTTGGTGATACAATTATTGACAAACCAGGTGTTCCAGTTAGTGGCGGAATCAGTGGTCCATATTGTGAGGGAAAGAGTGGTCCATATGGTGACGGAACGAGTGGTCCATATGGTGACGGAACTAGTGGTCCATATGGTGACGGAACGAGTGGATCATATGGTGACGGAACGAGTGGTCCATATGGTGACGGAAATAGTGGTCCATATGGTGACGGAAGGAGTGGACCATATAGTGACGGAACGAATGGTCCATATTGTGACGGAACTAGTGGTCCATATGGTGACGGAATGAGTGGACCATATGGTGACTGAAGGAGTGGACCATATGGTGGCAAAGAGGGTGGACCATATGGTGGCAAAATTGGTGTTTCATATGGTGGCCAGGCTGGGAAACCTGGTGGATAATGTGGTGGAAAAATCGGTTGTGGAATATATGGTGGCCAAACTGTTGGTTTATATGGTGGAAAACCTGGTAGTACAACTGGTGGTACTCTCGGATTGCCTTACTCTTCTGGTTCGGCGAGCGCCACGACAGCTAAGGCTGCGGTAACAACGAGTATCTGCAAACCAGAAGGAAGTTATTTACACCATTGATCACATTAAATGTATATATTAGCCAAGAGAATGCTCAGTTCTTATTACCTCATAGGGTCATCAGGACTAAAATAATCGAAAAAAAAAACAACTAATTTTTCTCTCAGATGATGACAGACTGTATACAGTTTGTTACCGATAGCACCGAACTAGAAGTACAACCACAATGCGCTCTCAGTCTATGTGCGGATATGGGTCTGATTAAGGCCAAAACAAACTGCACGGTCACAATTAGTTTTTCGGAGCGTCATTTTTACTATAAATACAATAATACAAAGAGCCTTTATTAGTAAAATCAAGGTCGAATGAAACTGCAAGTTCCCCAAGAGCACCAAAATTCCGTCTCTCTCCCGCCCGGATACATAAATCAAAACAAATTAAAAGAAATCATCACAATTAGTTATTATTTCTGGACATGATCACGAATACCGTCCTTGGTGTCTTAATTCTAAAATCACTTTAAGGGAACATTCATAAGAAATTACAGATAACTAGATATAAGTTTTCAGTATATCATAAATAAGCCTGAAAAATTATTTCTCAGTTAACAATAGACAAGGGAGTTTTGGGGCGTGTTTCGCCGTGTATTCCGGTATAAGTTCACGAGATTTTGGACGGAATATACCGTCTCCAAATACATGTTGGAAGAGTAAGCCAAGCAAGTAGACAGCAACAAACAAGCAGCAAAATATCTGTAAAATACGGCGCCCGCTCTGGTCTCCTACAGTGACCCGCGTTCACATTACCAGTTGCTTCCTGAAACTGTTCTGCCACTTACTTCATAAAGAGACATGGCAAAGTCTAATGACAATACAGCAGAGTCATATCTTATATAAAAACCCGTCTATTTGACCAGGTGTCCATGAGTTTAAGAGATGGACTTCGGAAGTGGCAGACCTCTGACAAGTGGCCACTGTATCGCCAGATTTGATACACATTGGTAGAGAAACCGATTCGTCATGTGTTTGCCTTGGCACTCGGCCGCACATTACCACCTGGACAAACAACTTGTTTATGTGTTCATGGGCTAGTTAGATGCATCGAAACAGCAAATAGAGTAGATGAATATATCCCTCATTAGCCTATTAAAAAAAGTGCATGTACAGCAATGCATATTTCTGCACTTATGCAAATAGACATCGGAAGAGAGGAAAAGCTGCTTTATGCAAAGCGTGTTTACATGAGTGACATCCTACCGGCTCTGAATAGAATTACGAAATTGAAAATGCAGTCAGGGCCCAACACAAGTCAGTAGAGCCACTGATGTATGATTGAATGAATGCATATTTGTCACCCTGATTTGGATTCTCCAACGTCCTCCTTACTCGCTTAAAAAAAATTCCATGATCTTAACTCCAGTAGGCCACGACCCCTTCCCTCTATATTCATTCGTACCACTAATTCATCTGTGATCCCACTTTTCGAAATTCTACGGAAAACACACTGGCTCCAGAATCTTACGTTTGGGGCTATCTTTGTTAACAGAACCATGAACCATTAGTACTTAGTGGCGTGCAGGTTGTCCAACTTGTCCACTGCGGGGGTTAGTACACCTTACCCTCTCAATGTAACTTATGCATATACTGTACAAAAGCTACTCAAACCCACAATGCTGTGAAGGAAGTTACTGCCAAAGTGGTAACCTATATTTGCATTGGGGCCCCTCCTAACTTCGGACTCGTGTCATGTTTTAGAGATTTGCGACAAATAAGGAATCACAATATGTGAAAATGTAAGTCTACAGTATGTACAGAAGTCTTACTTTCTATTGAGAATAACAGGCGATTATAACATATCCGTTGTAATGCAGGTATACAGAGCGGTTGCTCTGTAACTGATCGTCAAACACCTCGCAACCGAATACACGCAAGGCAACGGTAGAAGTACGGCTCTTTCTACGCGTCTCGGCGTCGTGTTCGCTGCTACGCAACGATGCATTAACACTTCCTTACAACAATGTAGTCTGTTTTCTGGGTGATCGGTGCGGAGGCCTCATAACGACAGTAACATCTATCAGAAATTCGGTTCTTCAATGCCGGAGATAAAGAGGAGAGTCCACGAGGGTTCAGCAGTTCAGATTACAAGGACCAGAATGGAGCCTGAACTGTGAAGATTAACTGAGAGCGAGTTGGAACCAGGAACACAGAAGAGAGAATACAGGAGGTCGGCCTGTGAGGATTTAAAGCCTGATTTGAAGAATTGACGTGTGCTACAGTGCAGTGGAATTCGGAGTGTGTGATTTACGGAGATTCTTATGGTCCCCGTATTGTAAACCCGTGAAGTCTAATGGAGATAGTCTTAAGAGATCACCGTGTATTGAATGAAATTTGCATGAATCAGAACAGTGTTGTAATTAATTGTAGTTACGACATGGAGTTTGCTAATGAAAACATTTACCGATCCGACCCCAAGTCTCAGGCGCCTAAACACGTTCTGCATTATCCTAGGATACCGACATTCAGGGCAAGACTTTCGACCAGTGTTTTGATGTTTATTCATAGAGTTATAATTAACGATACGTAGGTAAGTCAATAATTAAGTTAAAAATGGATACAGAACTTACACAATTAAGAGTACTGATTTAAAAAGTGCTTTTATTTCTCTACATAATACACTGTACATTGAGGCACTTGACCCATCGTTTCAGTAGACCCTGAAAACCAGCAGCATAAAATTATTCGGCTTCTATCGAAACCAGGCGGTGACTACAAAGAACACTGTTAACACAGTACACAACAAGTGTTTTAAGTTTATGTTCACCAGTCATTTCCTGGTGATACTCCCTAACAATGTACTCTACTTAGTCCTCAAAATGTCGACTCTCAAATTCAAAGACAATGGTGAAAGTTATATTACGTTCGACGTCATTCGTCCAGTCTATGTTTGTGTCAAGCACCCAGGGGCCCTAGACCAGAGAATTATTGGTGTCAGACAGTAGACCGATCACAGATGTTTCAGGCACAAGCTAGGAAAAGAAGAAATACCGGTACGCCTGTAGTTTATAAGGGAGAAATAGCCTTGAGGAGGATATAATATCACGTGAAAACCCATTTCTACGAAAGTGTTTAGTGAACGCATCCCACAACACACGCGCACGCAACAATAAGGAGATTTTCTTAGGAAATGGAGGTGAACACACGTTCCTTAACAAGAGAAGATGCTGTATCCATGGGTTCCGAACCGATGTTATATAACAGGGGTCTCGCGCAGCTAGAATGAGAAGTGGATGGAGTTCTGAAAATGGAAGTGAAAAGAAATTGAGGCCAAAGGGCAAGACAGGAAGTAGACCCTGACGTTAGACTGTGATTAAAAGTTAAATTGAGACTGTGTTAAATCCGTCACCAGGATACGACTACTGAAGCCTGAGAAACCTACAGCTTGTGGAATGGTGAAGTAGAAATTGTGTAGTATAGCGATAGTGCTGTATTGATCTTTGTCCAGCAATCTGTAAAGGTATAAGGTGTAATAACTTCAATCATCCAATCCCAACTCCACAATATATTCACTAAAAACCGTGAAAACACTTCCTGACACCTATGTATAAATTTTCATAGTGGAATTTCAACCCACCAAAATTACTTATATATATATTCCTATTCTACACATGCGTACTATATGCCCTGCCCATTTCATCCTCCTTGACTTTACCATTCTAATTGTATGAACTTGGTGAACAGTACATTTAGACCGCTCCTCCTTGTGCAGTAATTGAAGTCGCAAATCAACGCCCCAAAAATGAACATTGAGTGCCCCCGAATGAAGGGAAGTTGCCTTTATGCATCTCTGCGAAGTCTGCGCAATTTAACGACAATAGTGGAGGGTCAGGACAGCTCTGATGGGTCGATGGGTCACGTGATGAATTAGTAGCAGTTCCTGTATTAGCGGTTGTCTTACTTTGGCGATGAAAAGCAGGGAAAGATGTGAGGTTGCCTTGCTTTTGTGATAGCGGTGACGAACTAGGAGTCATTGAACAAAATGGGCTTTCACTGAACCTCGCTTTCGGATGGAAAGGAAACCTCTATCACAAGCAGGAGTTCCTGGGGTCAAGTCTTGGCCAGGAAGACGGTAATCCTTTCAGAATTTCTAAGTCGAATCTCTTTTGCTTTCCCGCGAATTCGAGGAAGGTACCTCAATCTGGGCAGCGTCTGGCCCCATCTATATATATTATAATATTTTATTCGATGATAATCCAGTCATTCTACGCTACTGAATCTCATTTTCTTACACCGTCCTTACTACTAGAATGAATGGATAAGTTAACAAGGAAGTAGATATATACCAGGGAATTACTTCGTTGAAATTCTGGATAAAGTGTGAATGTAGAAGTTACGTTTCTTTAATAGGTGATATCGTGTACATTGGTAGATATATAACTACGTTCTGGAGGATTGTAGTGCTTCTACCATGAGAGAAGTGAAATAAGTTGGAAAAATTGAAATGGAATGATATTTATTTATATAACATGGGAGAAAGTCGAAGTTGGAAGTAGGCCCTTAAAAGAGCCCGATTTGTAATGGGAAATCCTGCTCAGTAACTCCATGCTCTCCATGGAAAAACAGAAGACGTTGTAAAATATAACAGAAAGAGACTTTTGAAAATACAGTGCAGAAAGATCGGAATGGAAGGGGAGGAGCAGACGATTGCCTTGAAGAGGATAGTTATGAACGTACAAATATCATTAAAATTCCATAAAAATCCCAAATCTTATTTTGCGTAATTATACACAATGTATAATAGGGCACAATTACACAGCACATATTATCTTAGAAAAGTAAGATTGAAATGTGAACAACGAAATCAATTATGCAACATTTATTTACATCTTTGTAGTGAAACAAAAAATCAAATGTTGAACAATATCGTCCGAGAAAACATGAGGATTTCCAGGATTTTCAGCAGATGATCTCTCGTATTTTGGGATTCCGAAGGAGCCTCAGTCACACGTTATTCGTGTGGTTTCTTGGTAGGTTTCTCAGGTCACGGTTCCTTGGTAGGTTCCTCAGTACGACGATGTGGAGGGACTGGATTAAGAGGAGGCCAAATTGGGAGATCAGGTGGTACAATTATTGGCAAAACTGGTGTTCCAATCCGTGGCGGAAACAGTTTCCAATGGTCGCCGAAGACAGTAGATCATGTGGTAGAAAAACCGGTGGTTTATATGGTGGCCAGGCTGGGAAATCTGGTGGATAAATTGGGAAGGAAACACCTGGATTATACGGTGGGTAAACTGGTGGCTAATGTGATGGCAAAACACCTGGATTATACGGCATGGTAACATGTGGGTAATGTGGTGGCACAGGAGGTTTTGGATAATATGGTGGCCAACATGGCAAAATTGGTGGTTTAATTGGTGGCAAAGCGGGCAGTACAACTACTGGTTTTTCCGGCTTGTCCCGCTCTACTGGCACGGCGAGCGCCACGACAGCGAAGGCTGCGGTAAAAAGGAGTATCTGCAAACCAGAGGAAAGTTATATATACCATCGCTCACATTACATGTATAAATTAGCCAAGTGATTGCTCGTTACTTATTACCTCGTCGTCTCGTCAGGATTAAATAGTCGAAAAAATCTAATTTTTCTCTCAGATGATGACAGACTGTATACAGTTTGTTACTGACAGCACAGAACTAGAAGTACAACCACAATGCGCTCTCAGTCAATGTGCGGATATGGCTGTGATTTAGTGCACAACAAGCTGCACGGAAACCATTACTTTTTCGTAGCGTCGTTCTTTACAATAATTTATATCCCTTGAAGTGAAGTCGAGGACAGGAAAAGAGAGGCTTTATTAGTAAAATCAGGGTAGAATCAAAATGGAAGTTCCCCAAGAGCACCAAAATTCCGTCTCCTCTCCCGCCCGGCTACATAAATCCAAACAAACTTAAAAAATCGTCATAATTAGTTACTATTTCTGGACATGGTCACGAATACCGTCCTTGGTGTATAATTCTAAAATCACTTTAAGGGAACATTCGTAAGAAATTACAGATACCTAGAAAAAGTTTTCAGTATATCATAAATATGCCTGAAAAATTATTTCTCAGTTAATAATAGACAAGAGTGTTTTGGGGCGTGATTCGCCGTGTATTCCGGTATAAGTTCACGAGATTTTGGACGGAATATACCGTTTCCAAATTCATGATGGAAAAATAAGCCAAGCAAGTAGACAGCAACAAACAAGCAGCAAAATATCTGTAAAATACGGCGCCCGCTCGGGTCTCCTACAGCGACCCGCGTTCACATTACCAGTTGCTTCCTGAAACTGTTATACCACTTACCGCGTAACGTGCCATGGCGAAGTCCAATGACAATACAGCAGAGTCATGTCTTATATAGGAACCCGTCTATTTGAGCAGGAGTCCATGAGTTTAGGAGATGGACTTCGGAAGTGGCAAACCTCTGACAAGTGGCCACTGTATCGCCAGATTTGATACACATTGGTAGAGAAACCGCTTCGTCATGTGTTTGCCTTGGCACTCGGCCGCACATTACCACCTGGACAAACAACTTGTTTTTGTGTTCATGGGCTATTTAGATGCATCGAAACAGCAAATAGAGTAGATGAATATATCCCTCATTACCCTATTAAAAAAAGCATGTACAGCAATGCAGCTTTCTGCACTTATGCAAATAGACCTTGGAAGAGAGGAAAAGCTGCTTTGTGCAAAGCATGTTTACCTGAGTGACATCCTTCCGGCTCTGAATAGAATTACGAAACTAAAAATGCAGTCAGGACCCAACACAAGTCAGTAGATCCACTGGTGTATGATTGAATGAATGCATATTTGTCACCCTGATTTGGATTCTCCAACGTCCTCCTTACTCGCCTGAAACAAATTCCATGATCTTAACTCCAGTAGGCCACGACCCCTTCCCTCTATATTCATTCGTACCACTAATTCATCTGTGATCCCACTTTTCGAAATTCCACGGAAAACACACTGGCTCCAGTAGCTTATGTTTGGGGCTATCTTTGTTAACAGAACCGTGAACCATTAGTACTTAGTGGCGTGCAGGTTGCCCAACTTGTCCACTGCGGGAGTTAGTACATCTTACCCTCTCAATGTAACTTATGTATATACTGTACAAAAGCTACTCAGAAACCACAATGCTGTCAAGGAAGTTACTCCCAAAATGGTAACCTATATTTGCATAGGGGCCCCTCCTAACTTCGGACTCGTGTCATGTTTTAAAGATTTGCGACAAATAAGGATTCATAATATGTGAAAATGTAAGTCTACAGTATGCACAGAAGTCTTACTTTGTATTAAGCATATACGGCCATTACATTAAATCCATTGTATTGTGGGCAGACATAGCGGTTGCTAGGTAACTGACCGTCAAACACCTCGCGACCGAATACATGCAAGGCAACGGTAGAAGTACGGCTCTCTCTACGCGGTCGGCGCCGTGATCGCTGCTAAGCAACGATGCATTAACACTTCCCTACAAAAATGTATGCTGTTTTCTGCGTGATCGGTGCGGAGGCCTTATAACGACAGTAAAAAATATAACAAGTTCAGTGTTTTATTGCCGGAGATTAAGAGGAGAGTCTACGAGGGTTCAGCAGTTCAGATTACAGTGACGAGAATGGAGCCTGAACTGTGAAGATTAACTGAGAGCGAGTTGGAACCAGGAACACAGAAGAGAGAATACAGGAGGTCGGCCTGTGAGGATTTAAAGTGTGAGTTGAAGACTTTACGTGTGCTACAGTGCAGTGGAATTCGGAGTGTGTGATTTAGGGTGATTGTTATGGTCCCCGTATTGTAAACCCGTGAAGTCCAGTGCAGAGAGACTGAAGCGGTTTTTGTGTAGTGATTGTAATTTCCGTGAAACAGGGAATTGTTACAATTAATTGTAGTTACGATATGGAGTTTGTTAAGAAAATCAATTACCGATCAGAACCCGCATCTCAGGCGCCTAAACACGTTCTGCATTATACTAGGATACCGATATTCAGGACAAGACTTTCGACCAGTGCTTTGATATTTATTCATAGAGTTATAATTAACGATACGTAGGTAAGTCAATATGAAAGGTACAAAGGGATATGGAATTTCACAATTGGAGTACTGATTTAAAAAGTGTTTTTATTTCTCTACATAATACTTTGTACATCGAGGCATTTGACCTGTCGTTTCACAAACCCCTGAAGACCAGCAACATAAAATTCTTTGGCTCCTGTCGGAATCAGGCGGTGACTCCAAAGAACACTGTAAACACAGGACACATCAAGTCTTCTAAGTTTACCTTCACCAGTCACTTCCTGGTGATAGTACCCAAAAATGTACTCTACTCAGTCATCCAACTGTCGACTCTCAAAGTCAAAGCCAATGGCGAAAGTTATATTACGATCGACGTCATTCTTCCAGTCTATGTTTGTGTCAAGCTCCCAGGGGCCCTAGACGAGAGAATTATTACTGTTAGACAGTAGACCGGTCACAGATGTTTCAAGCACAAGCTAGGAAAAGAAGAAATGGCGGTACTCCTGTAGTTTATTCGGGAGAAGTAGCATTGAGGAGGATTCAATGTCACGTGAAAACCAATTTCCACGAAAGGGTTTAGTGAACGCATCCCACAACACACGCGTACACAACAATAAGGAGATTTTCTTAGGACATGGAGGTGAAAACACGTTCCTTAACAAGAGAAAATACTGTTTTCCATGGGTTCCGAGCGGATGTTATAAACGGGGGTCTCAAGCAGCTAGAATGAAAGGTGAATTGAGTTCTGGAGATGAAAGTCGAAGGAATTTGAGGACAAAGGGCAAGACATAACGTAGACTGTGACGATAGACTGTGATTAAAAGTTACATTGAGACTGTGTTTAAATACGTCACTAGGATACGACTACTGAAGCCTGAGAAACCTACAGCTTGTGTAATTGTGAACTAGAAATTGTGCAGTATAGCGATAGTGCTGTATTGATCTTAGTCCAGAACTTTGTAAATGTACAAGGTGTAATAAATTCAATCATCCAATCGCAAACCTCACTAACATCCGGGAAAATATTATCCTGACACCTATTTATAGATCTTCATAGTTGAATTTAATTACACCAAAATAACTTATATATATACTATTCCTATTCTCCCCATGCGTGCTATATGCCCTGCCCTTTTCATCCTCCTTGACTTTACCAATCCAATTCTACATACTTGGCCAATAGTACATTTTGACCGCTACTCCTTGAGCAGTAAGTGACGTCGCAAAACAAAGCCGCAAAAATGAACAGTGAATCCCACCGAATGAAGGGAAGTTAGCTTCATGCATCTCTTCGAATTCTGTGCATAACAACGGCAACAGTGGTTGGTCAGGACAGCTCTGATTGGTCGACCGGGTACGTGATGAATCAGTAGCAGTTCCAGTATTAGCGTTTGTCTTACTTTGGCGATGAAAAGCAGGGAGAGATGTGAGGCTGCATGTCAATGTGATAGCGGTGACGAACTAGGAGTCATTGGACATAATGGGCTTTCACTGAACCTCGCTTTCGGATGGAAAGCAAACCTCTATCATAAGCATGAGATCCTGGGGTCAAGTCTTGGCCAGGAAGCCGGTAATCCTGACAGAAGTTTGCGTGCATTCTTTTCTGCTTTCCCCCGAATTCGAGGAAGGTCTCTCAAACTGGGCAGCGTCTGGTTCCATCTACATTACTTACAAAGTATTATTCGATGATAATCCAGTCATTCCATGATATAGAGTCTCATTATCGCCCACTGTATTTACTACTAGAATGAATAAATAAGTTAACAAAGAAATAGTTATATACCAGGGAATTACTTCGTTGAAATTCTGGATAAAATGTGAACACAGAAGTTACGGTTGTTTGACTGGTGACATCGTGTACCTGCAGATATCTGCGTACGTTTTCGAACATTGTAGTTCTTCTACTATGAGAGTAGTGAAATAAGTTAAAAAAATTGAAATGGTAATATATTAATTTGTATAACACGCGAGAAAGCCGAAGGAGGAGGTCGGCCCATAAAAGAGCTCGTTTCGAAATTTGAAATCGTGCTCAGTAAATCAACGCTGTGCATAGATAAACATAAGGAGTTATAAAATATAACAGAAAGAGACTATTGAAAATACAGTGCAGAAACAAGGAAATTGAAGGGGAGGAACAGACGATTGCCTTGAAAAGGATAGTTTTGTACGTACATCAATAAAACCATGACAAGTTAGAGGTGACAATATCATTAAAATTCCGTAAGAATCCCAAATCTTATTTGGCGGAATTATACGCAATGTATAATAGGGCACAATTACACAGCACATATTATCTTAGAAAGTAAGATTGAAATCAGAACAACGAAATCCATTATGCATCATTTATTTACATCTTTAAAGAGAAAAATAGAAATCAAATGTGAAGAAACATCGTCCGAGAAAACATGAGGATTTTCTGGGGCTGCAGCAGTTGATCTCTTGCATATTTGGATTCCGAAGGAGCCTCACTTCCACGTTATTCGTGTGGTTTCTCGGTAGGTTTCTCTGTAGATTTCTCAGTAGGTTCCTTAGGTCACGGTTCCTTGCCAGGTTCCTCAGTTTGACGATGTCGAGGGACTGGATTAAGAGGAGGCCAACTTGGGAGATCAGGTGGTACAATTGAAGAAAGCAGTCTTCTGGGATTTGGCACCGTGTATATATGGTGTATATACACGGTGCCAAATCCCAGAAGACTGCTTTCTTCATCTCTTTAAAACTCCGTGGCCTGTAGTCCGCAAGCGAACTATNGTACAATTATTGGCAAACTTGGTGTTCCAATCGGTAGCGGAAACAGTGGTCCAAATGGTGCCAAAACTGGTAGTTTATATGGTGGCCAGTCTGGGAGTCCTGGTGGAATTTATGCTGGGGAAACACTTGGATAATACGGTAGGAAAACTGGTGCATAACGTGGTAAGAAAACTCCTGGATTATACGATGGTGAAACTGGTGGTTAATGTGGTGGCTTAACACCTGCATTATACGGTATGGAAACTTGTTGATAATGTGGTGGCAGAATCGGTTTCGGAATATATGGTAAACAAATTGGTGGTATATATGGGAGCAAAGATGGTGGCACACCTGGTGGCACACCTGGTGGAATAACTGGTGGTTTTTCCGGATTGTCCTGCTCTACTGGCACGGCGTGCGCCACGACAGCGAAGAATGCGGTAAGCAGGAGTATCTGCAAACCAGAGGAAAGTTACATATAACATCGCTCACATTAAATGTATGTATTAGCCAAGTGATTGCTCGTTACTTATTACCTCGTCGTCTCGTCAGGATTAAATAGTCGAAAAAATCTAATTTTTCTCTCAGATGATGACAGACTGTATACAGTTTGTTACTGACAGCACAGAACTAGAAGTACAACCACAATGCGCTCTCAGTCTATGTGCGGATATGGCTGTGATTTAGTGCACAACAAGCTGCACGGAAACCATTACTTTTTCGTAGCGTCGTTCTTTACAATAATTTATATCCCTTGAAGTGAAGTCGATGACAGGAAAAGAGAGGCTTTATTAGTAAAATCAGGGTAGAATCAAAATGTAATTTCCCCAAGAGCACCAAAATTCCGTCTCCTCTCCCGCCCGGCTACATAAATCCAAACAAACTTAAAAAATCCACACAATTAGTTACTATTTCTGGACATGGTCACGAATACCGTCCTTGGTGTCTTAATTCTAAACTAACTTTAATTGAACCTTGGTATGAAATTTCAGATAACTAGTAATACATTTTCAATATATTATCAATAAGCCCGCAAAATTATTTTTCAGTTAACCATATACAAAAGCGTTTGGGAAGGGAGTGGGGGGTGTTACGCCGTGTACTCCGGTATAAGTTCACCAGATTCTGGACGGAATATACCGTCTCCAACTTCAGAATAGAAAAGTAAGCCAAGCAAGTAGACAGCAACAAACAAGCAGCAAAATATCTGTAAAATATGGCGCCCCCTCGGGTCTCCTACAGTGACCCGCGTTCACGTTACCAGTTGCTTCCTGAAACTGTTCTATTACTTACCTTAATACGAGCCATGGCTAAGTCTAATGACAATACAGCAGAGTCGTTTCTTATATAGGAACCTGTCTATTTGAGCAGGTGTCCATGAGTTTAGGAGATGGACTTAGGAAGTGGCAAAACTCTGCCAAGTGGCCACTGTATCGCCAGATATGATACAGATTGGTAGAGAAACCGATTCGTCATGTGTTTGCCTTGGCACTCGTCCACAACTTACCTCCTGGACAAACAACTTGTTTATGTGTTCATGGGCTTACATGATACATCGGAACAGCAAATACACTAGATGAAAATATCCCTCATTAGCTAATTAAACAAACTGCATGTGCAGCAAGTGCAGCTTTCTGCACTTACGCAAATACATCTCGGTAGAGCGCAAATGCTGCTTTATGCAAAGCGTGTTTACCTGAGTGATATCTTGTGCCCGGAACTTTATGCGGTAGAAATACCTAAAATTTGCGCTAAGAACACTTAAAATATGCGCTAAAAAGCGGGCAAATATGCACCAAAAATAATAAAGCAATATGCACTTAAGGAACAGGTCACTTTATTCAGACTCACCTATTTACATGTAAGTAAGTAGCATTAAAATTGGCAACTGGAAGTCTTTCAGTGTTTTATGGAGACAAACTGCGTCTCTTTCCCGTCAAAATGAGTTTATAGGATGATAATGATATTTCTACATCAACTGACGTGATTGAACAGTATTTATACACTGGCGCGAAAGGTTCGGAACATTCATCTGGCAAAGATACCCTAAATCCACTCAAGTATTGACTAATTGACTGAATCTTTTTTAGTCCTGTGTTCGAATTCAACTCTATTTCTAACTTGCAGTTAATCTCCTCTCCTATTTCGTCTGGAGCAGAATTCAGTGAACGAGTTCAAGTGAGTCGTGAAGGAGTGCACCACAAGATTCTAAGCTCTTAATGGCTTTTGAAACTGTAGAAAAATATGCATGGAAAAAATTCACATCTTGATAAACAGTATCACTTCCAAACACCATTTCTGCTTCACGGACGCATGCATACTCACCTTCAAGTTTTGTAACCACTTCATTTACTTGATTGAAATACTCCTGATAAAATGAAACTGCGAATAACCATGTCCCACACCTAGTTAGGACAGGTTCAGGTGGCAGAGGAACTTGAGGTAGGCATTATTTGTAGAACTGGACATGAGTTGGTGCTTTCAGAAACAGTTTGCAATTGAATCGTTAGCAGCTGAAAACTGTGCGCGTATTCCTCTGCAATATGTTGTAATTCGTGATCTAAACAGGTTACATGTACAAGATTTAGATAAAACACTTTTATGGCCTTTGTTGCTTTCAACATAGAGAAAGCTCAATTTTTGAGTAATACAAGCACTTTACAACAATTATTCTCAAGAAAGCAGTCTTCTGGGATTTGGCACCGTGTATATGTGATGTTAACCGACGTTTCGGAGGAACGTATCGCCTCCATCTTCAGGGTAGGAAAAAAAATATAAGAAATCTGAAAGCGAAGAGACCGTGAGAACCGGTAAAAGCAGAAGACTGCTTTCTTCATAGTTACCGCGGTGAAAGCCTAAAATCTTACAATTATTCTCAAGTTCAGATGGCCAGAGTAGTCACAGAGAATCACTTACAAATCTCGCTATTGTGCTATGGTTGGTTTTCTCTAGTACTTTGCAAGGAAGAAGATGGGGTTTGCCGGGTTCGTCTGGATGTAGCTTACCAACAACGAAATTTGCTATGTATCGGCTACATATATCGGATGTCTCCTCCTTAATTTTCCATAATTTCAAACATATATGCAGAAATATCAAATTATGCATTTGCATATGCGCATATGCATTTTCAAAAAATCTGGGCTCTAGTGAAATCCTACTGGCTCTCAATAGAATTACAAAACTGAAAATGCAGTCAGGGCCCAACAGAAGTCAGTAGAGCAATTAATGTATGATTGAATGAATGATTATTTGTTACCCTGAGTGGGATTCCCCAACGTCCTCCTTACTCGCCTGAAACAAATTCCATGATCTTAAGTCCAGTAGGCCACGACCCCTTCCCTCTATATTCATTCGTACACCTAATTCATCTGTGGTCCCACTTTTCGAAATTCTACGGAAAACACACTGGCTCCAGTAGCTTACGTTTGGGGGTATCTTTGTTAACAGAACCGTGGACCATTAGTATTTAGTGGCGTGCAGGTTGCCCAACTTGTCCAGTGCGAGGGGTAGTACATCTTACCCTCTCAATGTAACTTATGTATATACTGTACAAAAGCTACTCAGAAACCACAATGCGGTGAAGGCAGTTACTGCCAAAGTGGTAACCTATATTGGGATAGGGGCCCCTTCTAACTTCGGACTCGTGTCATGTTTTAAAGATTTGCGATAAATAAGGAATCACAATATGTGAAAATATAAGTTTACACCACATACAGAAGTCTTACTTTGTATTGAGAATAACAGGCGATTATAACATATCCATTGTAATGTGGGTATACAGAGCGGTTGCTAGGTAACTGACCGTCAAACACCTCGCTAATGAATACACGCAAGGCAACGGTACAAGTACGGCTCTCTCTATGCGGTCGGCGCCGTGATCGCTGCTACGTAACGATGCATTAACACTTCCCTACAAAAAATGTATGTTGTTTTCTAGGTGATCGGTGCGGAGGCCTTATAACGACAGTAACAAATTTAACAATTTCAGTGTTTAAATGAGGGAGATAAAGAGGAGAGGCCACGAGGGTTCAGCAGTTAAGATTACAGGGACGAGAATGGAGTCTGATCTGTGATGATTAACTGAGAGCAAGTTGGAACCAGCAACACAGTAGAGAGAATACAGGAGGTCGGCCTGTGAGCATTTAAAGTGTGATTTGAAGACTTGACGTGTTAAGCAGTGCAGTGGAATTCGGAGTGTGTGATTTAGGGTGATTGTTATGGTCCCCGTATTGTAAACCCGTGAAGTCTAGTGGAGATAGACTTAAGAGATCACTGTGTATTGAATGAAATTTGCATAAATCAGAACAGTGTTACAATTAATTGTAGTTACCATATCCAGGTTGTTAATAAAAACAATTGCCGATCCGAACCCCCCTCTCGGGCGCCTAAACACGTACTGCATTATCCTAGGATACCGACATTCAGGGCAAGACTTTCGACCAGTGGTTTGATGTTTATTCATAAGGTTATAATAAACGATACGTAGGTAAGTCAATATGAAAGTTACAAATGGATATGGAATTTCACAATTGGAGTACTGATTTAAAAAATGATTTTATTTCTCTGCATAAGAAGGCACTTGACCCATCTTTTCACAAGCCCATGAAAACCAGCAGCATAAAATTCTTCGTCTCCTGTCGGAACCGAGACAGCTCTGATGGGTAGACCGGTCACGTGATGAATCAGCAGCAGCTCCAGTATTAGCGGTTGTCTTACTTTGGCGATGAAAAGCAGGGAGAGATGTGAGGCTGCGTTGCTTTTGTGATAGCGGTGACGAACTAGGAGTCATTGAACATAATGGGCTTTCACTGAACCTCGCTTTCGGATGGAAAGGAAACCTCTATCATAAGCAGGAGATCCTGGGGTGTTGTCTTGGCCAGGAAGCCGGTAATCTTGACAGAATTTCTGCGTCGAAACTCTTTTGCTTCCCCGCGAATTCGAGGAAGGTACCTCAGACTGGGAAGTATCTGGTACCATCTATATTCTTACTCAAGGATCTGAGCCCTACTTGAGGAGCCGCCAATTCTGCAGCTACTCAAGATTTTCCCAGACTTTTATGGAACCCGAAAGTTCAATACCTTGTTCACAAGAGCCCTCCATTGGTCCCAATCCTGAGCCAGATCTATCCAATCAATACCATCCCATCCTATCTCTCTAAGATCCATTCTACGAGTAATATTGTCCAACCACCTACGCCTTGGTCTTCCCTGTGGTCTCTTTCCTTCTGGTTTTCCCATAATCTATATGCATTCCTATTTATTATTCGATGACAATCCAGTCATTCTACGCTACTGAATCTCATTTTCTTACACCGTTATTACTATTAGAATGAATAAATAAGTTAACAAAGAAAGAGATATATACCAGTGATTTACTTCGTTGAAATTCTGGATAAAGTGTGAACATAGATCTTACGGTTGTTTGACTGGTGACATCGTGTACCTGCAGATATCTGCGTAGGTTCTGGAGGATTCTCGTGCTTCTACTATGAGAGAAGTCAAATAAGTTGAAAAAATTGAAATGGTATGATATTTATCTGTAGAACTTGCGAGAAAGCAGAAGGTGAAGGTCGGCCCTTAAAAGAGCTTGTCTGGAAATTTGAAATCGTGCACAGTAAATCCACGCTGTGCATGGATAAACAGAGGGAGGTGTAAAATATAACAGAAAGAGACTATTGAAAATAAAATGCAGAAACAACGGAATTGAAGGGGAGGAACAGACGATTGCATTGAAGAGGATAGTTTTGTACGTGCATCAATAAAACCATGAGAAGATAGAGGTGACAATTTCAATAAAATTCCATAAATTCCCACATCTTATTTTGTGGAATTATACACAATGTATAATAGGGCACAATCACACAGCACATATTATCTTAGAAAGGAAGATTGAAATTAGAAAAACTAAATCAATTATGCAACATTTATTTACATGTCTAAAGTTTTAACATACAAATTAAATGTGGAAAAACATCGTCCGAGAAAACATGAGGATTTTCTGGGGCTGCAGCAGATGATCTTGTATATTTGGATTCCGAAGTAGCCTCAGTTCCACATTATTCTTGTGGTGTCTTGGTAGGTTTCTCGGCAGGTTCCTCAGGTCACGGTTCCTCCGTGTAATGTTCCTCCGTATCCGGTTCCTCCTTATCCGGTTCCTCCGTGTCCGGTTCCTCGCTAGGTTCCTCAGTTTGACGATATGGAATGATTGGATGGAGGGGCGGCAAAATTGGCAGACCCGGGAGATGCAAAATTGGTGCCCCAATTATTGGCAAACCTGGTTTTCCAATCAGTGGTGGAAGCAGTGGTCCAAATGGTGGTAAAAACGGTGGACCAAGTAGTGGCAAAAGTGGTGGTTTATATAGTGGATAGTGTAGGAGTCCTGGTGGATAATATGGTTGGTAAACAACTGTATAATAATGATTGGAAACTGGTGGGTAATTTGGTTTGGAATCACTTGGATAATAAGGTGGGGAATCTGGTGGGTAATGTGCTGGGGAATCAGTTGGATAATACGGCGGAGAAGCTGGTGGGTAATTTGGTTTGGAAACACTTGGATAATACGGTGGGGAAGCTGGTGGGTAATTTGGTTTGGAAACACTTGGATAATACGGTGGGGAATCTGGTGGGTAATGTGCTGGGGAATCAGTTGGATAATACGGCGGAGAAGCTGGTGGGTAATTTGGTTTGGAAACACTTGGATAATACGGTGGGGAAGCTGGTGGGTAATTTGGTTTGGAAACACTTGGATAATACGGTGGGGAATCTGGTGGGTAATGTGCTGGGGAATCAGTTGGATAATACGGCGGAGAAGTTGGTGGGTAATTTGGTTTGGAAACACTTGGATAATACGGTGGGGAAGCTGGTGGGTAATATTCTGGCGAATCACTTGGATAATACGGCGGAGAAGCTGGTGGGTAATGTGGTGGAGGAATTGGTTTTGGTTTATTTGGTGTCAAAACTGGTGGTTTATGTGGCGGCAAATCTGGAGGTTTATATGGTGGTAAAACTGGTGGTTTACTTGGTGGAAAAACTGATGGTGCAACTGATGGTGTTACCGGTTTCTCCTGCTCTACGGGTTTAGCGAGCGCCACGACAGCGATGGCTGCAGTAACAAGGAGTATCTGCAAACCAGAAGGAAGTTATATACGCCATTGCTCACATTAAGTGTATATATTACACCAGTAATTGCTTAGGAGTGAACGGAGAATTTCATGGAGGTAGGCCTAGGCCCACTGGGGCTGTAGTGAGAAGGAAAAAATGCTTAGCATTTACTAGATCATCGGCTCATTAGGACTGTAATAATCGTAAGATTGTAATAATTCTCTCAGATCATGGCAGAATATATACAGTTTGTTACAGACAGCAAAGAACTAGAAGTACAACCACAATGCGCTCTCAGTCAATGTTTGCATATGGGTGTGATTTAGTGCAGAACAAGCTGCACGGTCACCATTAGTTTTTCAGAGCGTCATTTCTTACAGTAGTTTATATCCCTTGAAGTGAAGTTGAGGGCAGGGAAAGAGAGGCTGTATTAGTAAAATCAGAGTCGAATCAAACCGGAAGTTCCAAGAAAGCACCAAAATTAGGTGTATCTCCCGCCGGTTTAAATAAACTCAAACAGAATTTAAAATATCGTCAAAATAAGTTACAAATTCTGGACATGGTCATGAATACCGTCCTTGATGTCTTAATTCCAAAATCACTTTAATGGAACCTTGGTATGAAATTTCAGATAACTAGTAATAAACTTTCAATATATCATCAATAAGCCTGAAAAATTATTACTGAATTAACAATACACAAGGGAGTGGGGGGTGTTACGCCGTGTACTCCGGTATAAGTTCACCAGATTCTGGACAGAATATACCGTCTCCAACTTCAGAATAGAAAAGTAAGCCAAGCAAGTAGATAGCAACAAACAAGCAGCAAAATATCTGTAAAATATGGCGTCTGCTTTGGTCTCCTACAGTGACAAACGTTCATATTACCAGTTGCTTCCTGAAAATGTTCTACCACTTACCGTGTAACGAGCCATGGCGAAGTCCAATGACACTACAGCAGAGTCATGCCTTATATAGGAACCCGTCTGTTTGAGCAGGTGTCCATGAGTTTAGGAGATGGACTTCGGAAGTGGCAAACCTCTGCCAAGTGGCCACTGTATCGCCATATTTGATACACATTGGTAGTGAAACCGATTCGTCATGTGTTTACCTTGGCACTCACCCTCACCTTACCACCTGGACAAACAACTTGTTTATGTGTTCATGGTCAAGCATGATGCATCAGATTAGCAAATACACTCGATGAATATATCACTCATTAGCCTATTAAAAAAAATGCATGTGCAGCAATGCAGCTTTCTGTACTTATGCAAATACGTCTAGGAAGAGCGGAAATGCTGCTTCATGCAAAGCATGTTTACCTGAGTGATATTCCACCGGCTCTGAATAGAATTACGAAACTGAAAATGCAGTCAGTGCCCAACATAATTCAGTAGAGCCTTTGCTGTATTATTGAATGAATGCATATTTGTCACCCTGAATGGGATTCCCCAACGTTCTCCATACTCGCTTCAAGAAATTCCGTTATAATAACTCGAGTAGGCCACGGCCGCTTCCCTCCAAATTCGTTCGTACACCTAATTCATGTGTGATCCAACTTTTCCAAATTCTACGGAAAACACACTGGCTCCAGAAGCTTACGTTTGCGGACATCTTTGTTAACAGAATCGTGAACCATTAGTACTTAGTGGCATGCAGGTTGTCCAACTTGTCCACTGCGGGGGTTAGTACACCTTACCCTCTCAATGTAACTTATGCATATACTGCACAAAAGCTACTCAGAAACCACAATGCTGTGAAGGAAGTTACTGCCAAAGTGGTAACCTATATTTGCATTGGGGCCCCTCGTAACTTCGGACTCGTGTCATGTTTTAGAGATTTGCGACAAATAAGGAATCACAATATGTGAAAATGTAAGTCTACAGTATGTACAGGAGTCTTACTTTGTATTAAGCATAAGCGGCCATTATATTAAATCCATTGTAATGTGGGTATACAGAGCGTTGCTAGGTAACTGATCGTCAAACACCTCGCGACCGAATACACGCAAGGCAACGGTAGAAGTACGGCTCTCTCTACGCGTCTCGGCGTCGTGTTCGCTGCTACGCAACGATGCATTAACACTTCCCTACAACAATGTAGTCTATTTTCTGGGTGATCGGTGCGGAGGCCTTATAACGACAGTAACAAATATCATAAATTCAGTTCTTCAATGCCGGAGATATAGAGGAGAGGCTACGAGGGTTCAGCAGTTCAGATTACAGGGACGAGAATGGAGCCTGAACTGTGAAGATTAACTGAGAGCGAGATGGAACCAGGAACACAGAAGAGAGAATACATGATGTCGGCCTGTGAGGATTTAGCGTGTGATTTGAAGACTTAACGCATTAAGAAGAGCAGTGGAATTCGGAGTGTGTGATTTAAGGTGATTATTATGGTTCCCGTATAATAAACCCGTGAAGTCTAGTGCAACCGCTCACTTCGTTGGCCCCTTTACGTTGGTTGCCCTTATCACCGTCCTCCCTTGATCCTACGTTGTGTTCCACGTATCACCGTCCTCCCTCTTCTCTTGGATGTCGAGAAGTTAGGTGGGAAGGGAGGAGAATTGTGGTTGTTGGTGCTGGTAGGCGAAAGTTCGCTTCCAGTACACCCTTAGGTGTCTCGCAAGTAGGGAAAGACGGGAGTGTCTGGGTTCTGTTCTGTAATTGGTAGAGCTGAGTTCATATCCAGGGTCTTATACGGGTCTGGCTCGGGCAGGGCAGGAAGAATCTTTCACTACAATCACACACACCTCTTTAGACCGTTGCACTTAATAATTTTTTAATTCCCTCCAGCTCACTGAATACAAATGAATCTATTAGTAACACTTATTTAGAANGGTTGACAGGCCCTTGATGCATTACGATCAGGCTATGAGGTTCCGGCCGTCCCACTTGTACGTTATCGCTGTTTCGAGCTGTCAGCTCTCAAATCTTCAAAGAATTTCCGACTTTGTTGAAAATGCCAGAATTCCAGGAAAGTACCAGATGTTACTTCCTGTCCACATAGCAAAACTTGAACTATGTCCCTTCAGAGTATAAAAGTTGCCTACCTGCCGCATCTCTTTGTATTTACTTGATATTATCTTAATATAGCTTAAATT